TCTACACCCATATGCACACTCCAGCTTCCAGTAATTCAGTATGATCAGACAAAGAGTTAACATCACAGATAGGGTCTGGTTGATGTTTACTAGTCAACTGTGGATAACAAGGTGGCTTGAAAGTTTGGTTGATCCCTTATCCAGTCCTTTTATTCTTTTAACTCATCACTTACATTCTGAGCAAGATTTTGAGACTGTGACTTAAACATATTCTTAGATATATGAATGAGAGATAGAAGGGACCTTGTCCAATTCAAATGACCTCACTTTCTGAATACCATGATCACAGTCCTAAGAAGGAAAGAGGCTTGCCTCGGTCACACAGTTCCTTCCACTAGCCTGTTCTGACACAATAACAAGCATGATTTCAGTTTCTCAGATGCCTATCACGTCTCACTCTTCCTATCAAATGACTTAGCCTCTGAGGGAGAACCTGAAAACCAACATCTATGAAAACCAAATAAACTGCAAATGTTCCTTCTAGGGGAAAACCAGGAGCAACATGTGTCTCTGGTATTATGGACACATCATTAATCCCAGCAGTGTGCTGAGAGGCAACAGAGTGTGTGGCAAGTGGTGCTCTAGAGGTGGCTCAGCAAGACTTGACTTCAGTCTCACAGGGCACCTGGCCTCTTCCACACCATTCCTGCATCTGCTGCGTGGGCATGACTACACTGTTCTGAGGATGAAAGAGGTCCGAGCATGTGAAGCTCCATGCACAGTGGCAGTGCTGAGATGTGTGTCAGTTCCATGCCCCTTTGTTTTGACAGAAACCAGCAACAGAGGTCAGTTGCCTTCATTTGAAAGGAATTAGCTCATAAGAAGGCAGCTAAGAATCCTAAGATGTGGTGGCGGTTGAGCTGGCATCTACTTCTAAAGTGTCTATAAGGGGGTAGGTCATGGATCTACTGCTGGTATACAGACAGACATGTGCAGCCATTTCCTGCTGGCAGTGTGACACATAGCACAGGAAATACCACCCCAAGAGTGGGTCATTTTCAAACCATAAAAAGACTAAAATTACACATGTGTGTATAGTGGTATTTCCTTATAAGGGAGGGCAGGGTGGGAGAGAGAGGGGTGCATGGTATGTGTGTGTGTGTGTATGTGTGTGAGTGATAGAGAGAGAGTGGGGGGGGGGAGAGGGGGAGGGAAAGAACAGGACTGGGATACTGAAAAAAATATCCATCACCCTGATGTCTGGTCTTCTGCTAGTTTGTGAAAAATCCTCACCTGGGAGTTAAAAGAAGCAGAAAAAAAGTGGTCTGTAGTAATAATTAGATTCAGCACTTGGTTACAGGCAGAGAGACAGCAGGAAGGACACTTGTGCTGTGGCAACAGTGATCTGGAACTGTTATCTTCTCAACTGTGCCTCAAACAGCAGAGCAGATATTTCCTTTGGATTGAGTCCATGTTTTAGCATTTGTTATGGTTGAGTGCTTGAAGAATTGGACTCATTCCTTGTAAGACACTCAGTTTTCTTATCCATCATTAACATATAAATGAAATCATCTGCAAAGTGTCTTGAAGGAGCCTGGCTGTGAACAATTCAAAGCACTCTGTATGTCAGGGAATGCCAAATCTCACCAAGGCCATCCTGAAAGGACTCCAAAGTAGTGTGAGGTCTTGTGGGCATGTGGATATCCTCATGGTCACCAGAGGGCCATACTCTAAAGTCCATAAGCAACTAGAATTTGCGAGAATAGTCTGGATTTTTAGTGGGAAGTTATGCCTTTTTAATAGTGTTTTGGTTAGCCCAACACTAATATCAGAATCATATAGTTTGTGTTTCTAAGCCACCTGCAAACTAGGAGGCTTGTACTAATGGAAACTCATGTTAGAGAAACAAAATTGAGATTTAAAAAAATGGAACAGATAATGCATTAAATGGACTGAGGGCATTAGATGGTAAATCCCTTCAAAGTTAGGATCATGTTCTTAGACATCCTAAAACTCTTTTCTCAGTGTTAACAGTAGTTTTTGGTACATACATGTAGTCAAATAAATGTTAGTACACATTTTAAAAGCAATTTTCTCCTAAGAAATCAGGCTACTAACCATAGCCCTCTGTTTTTAGATGGAATAATGATAAGGGAGTTAAAATATAGCCATCATCTGGATCTTGAGATCATTATGCTAAGTGAAACAAGCCAGACACAGAAAGACAAATATCATATACTTCCTCTCATTTGTGGAAGTTTATACAAATAATGAAATAAAAAACATACATGCATTGAAACCTCAATTGCACCTCATAAGCATGTAAATTTCTGATGTATCAGTTAAAAAAATGAAGCTTTTCTGAATTAAAAATATAGCCATCATCTATTAAGTGCCAAAAACTCTAGTAATTATTTGTCATAATTCTGACTATAATCCTTTGTGTTTGACATTATGATTATTCTTACTTCCAGGTTGAAGCTCAGAGAGGCAACATTCTTAATTGACCACAAATGATTAGCACTGGGGAGATTCAAGCCCAGGTCAGTTTTCACTCTAAGATCTTTGCAGGCAAGTACTTTAACTATGACATGATCAAATTCTTACCATTATTTTCTCAAACAACAGCAATGCACAACCTGCACCAGAGTAAAAGCACTGGACCAAGAGGTTTTCTTAGCATGATTTTGGCACAAAGCTGCACGACCCCAGGCAATCATTTTCTTTCTCTGGGTTTTACCTTCTTCATCCATAAAATGGACCAAAAAACTTTTCTAGATCTGTCAGACCACTGCTCTGATGGAAGAGGCAAACAGCTGAGGGATGGCCAAGGAACTTATAAGCAAAAGCCCACAAAGCAATCTTCACAGAGGCAAAAGAGTGAGTTCTCATTTCTCTGTTTCAGGAGCAGGACAGCCTCAGAGCCATCTCAAGGGCTTGACTTACATTAGAATTTTCTCCATGTTAGACTATTTCCTACCACTTATTCACAAAAACGAAAAAATAATGACAGCAACATCTGCAATTGCTGGGCACCCTTAGAAACAACAAGAAGACTGCAAAAACAACATTGTGAAGGAATTCCTAGCAGTTGTGTTCAGGTTGTACACTGGTGATGCCAAAGGGTGGACAAACATGACCCTTACAAGGCTCAGTTCTTGGTAGACTTGCATTGTTTGGAGTATATTTTTATTAACCAATGTAAGTGCTCAGACAATCACAGAAGTACTAAGATGTAGCAGCCTAAAATTCACAGGGTCCAAGAAACACAGAGGAATGGAGGGTGAATCTCATCATAATTTAGTCAGCTGGTCAGTAGAGGCACAGACCATAGATACTTTACAACTGGAAGTGCTCAAAGATTCTTGTAGCTCCCCAATATTCAGTTCCATATCCTCAGATCAGAAGGACTCAACAAAGTGCCACTTCCAGTGTGCCCTTACCAGGTTCCCTTCCAGTGTTCTCTTCCCATCCTGTCTACCAACAACATATAGGAATTTCCACTTCCCTTTATGCTGAAAGACTCAATTAACAGTATATTTTCCCCATGCCACTCTCTTGCCTTTTTCTTACTTGGGTGCAACTGTCTGGCCTTGCCAAATCTCAAGATTGCTGTGAATAACACAAAAGGGTAACATTCATGAAAGAGATTTATAAACTCTGAATGAGTGAAAGAATGAATACTAGCAAGGGGCCACAATGAATTGATTAGAGTCAGTCTGCTGTCCATGCACTGGGCACATCACCTGCTGGGAATAGAGAATGGTATACAGAGTATTGCAAGTGACTTGGGGAAACATAATCTCTACCACCTATGGCCATCACCCATCACTATTACAGAATGTGGTGTGCCCCTCACACCACAGCAATCAATTCCCTTTCCCATTACCAGGTCCTAGGTTTGTCTGTCTACTTTTGCTTCCTTAGAGAGACGAGGAATAGTCAGTCAATGAATGTCTGAGATCAGGATTTGGATTCTCATTTCTGACACCTGATAGTTGTGTGGTCTTGATCAAGTCATCTGATTTGCCTCAGAACAAATTTCCTCACAAATCAGATGAGGTAATTACATACCATATGTCCTCCAACTACACAAGAGTGTGTGAGCTCATAAGAAATAATGGGCATGTTAACTCTTTGGAAGCTATTAAATACCACCTGTATAGAACATACTATTAGTAGCCACACCAGACATTCTGTAGTGCTTAACATGAATTTCAACAAGTTCTTTTATAAAGTATTCATGTTCAGCTAGTATCAAAACATGGAAAATAGTGTAAATAAATCAACCATTTATGATGCTTGTGTCTCAAGAAATAATAGCATGGCTCATAGTCCTTTTGAATAATCCCTGGGAAGGGAATCAAAGTTACGACTACTAGCTCACATTCAGAAAGCCTTCTACTACTTTCAAAGCCAAGGATTTCACAGGCAGTAAAAGGCAGGGCCTGGGCTAAGCCCGGTTCTTTGGCGGTCTGGCCTCATGCTTTCTCCCACAAAGGTAAGTGAAAGTGGTAGAAATGTTGGCATAGAACATTTGGGTTCCACCCAACAAGGACAGTGTGTCAAAGTTGCCACTCCTGTTTACAGCATTCAAGCCAAATGATGAATTGGCATGGTCATCAAATACTTTTATTGTTTAAAACTATCCCAACATTTCTGAAAGTATGTAAAAAAAGTGACCTGTTTCTTCATTTATATTCTGTTTAAAAATTTAAAAATTAAAAATATTCTAATTTGCTTCCATGACTCAACAAAAATGGATTCAATTTTTTATTCAATTTTTAAAAGTGGATTTGAATACACAGATATAGATGCATGTGTTTGAATATATTATATTTTAAACTCAAAAATCTAATATGTCAAGTCAGCTTAGTTTTTTAGTCAAGATTCTATTTGTTTCCAAGGGATAAATTTTGAGACATCAAGGAGAGAAGAATACTATCCAGGAAGTATACCTAAAATTAGATCCTCTAAGTTTAGGTTCCAAGTTAGAACTGCCACTTGTGGTTGACCGCCTCTTCCTTCCCTGAGGCCCATGGACCTCTTTGGTCACTTACCTCACTCTCTCCTCGTCAGTCTGCTTCAGAGCAGCGTCCCGCTGCAGAACCTTCATGATAGCTTCTTGTTCCTCCTCGGTCAGGAAGCTTAAGTCAATCATTTTGAAAAGTGCATATAAAATTATTAGTAGTAAGTACAATTCTCAGGACCAAACAACTTAGACCGTAACCAAAAAGATGAAAAGATAGAAAAAATGAAATAAACAAACGCCTTATTCAGTAATACAAGAAGTCTTGTTTTGGCTCAGCAAAGGTTCTGGGCAGCTGAGAGCAAAGTTCAAAATGTCCTTTTCCATAGCAAAGAAGTGGCTCATGAGATGACACCTGGAATAGAAACCCAAAATGATGCTGATGTCATATTCCTTGCTGGGCAGGTTGCTTGTTCTTACAGCAGCGTTCCTAGCACGTTCCCTCTTTGGACCAGTCTTAGGCACTGTTCATTCTCTTGCCACTTTCCGTCATCAACCTGATCAGATGAAGCAGCTCTAGGACATCACCCACCTGGAGAATCATGAGAAAATAAACATCAGTCAGTGAGAGGAAGTTCCTATAAATAGGACTCATTATTATATGGTGTTACAGTCTCTGAGGTCAGGAAAACCTGTTTTGCTTGCTTCCTAATCAAATGGCAAATAGCAATGAAACATGCTTCTATCCCATTCCAGACTGCCAAGGCGGAGAGCACACAAAAATGTGTGTCAATGCTTAATGATCCACCTGAGAGGGACAGAGATACAAAAACTTGCTCTTTCTGCAAACTCCTGGGATGCTAAAAAGTCATGTGATTCCAGCCAACACATTATGATAAGAAAGTTTTATACGTTCATCTCTTTAGACAGAAACATTCCACTAGATTTTCCACTTGCTTTGTAATGATAGTATTAGGTAGAGGCAGTTTGCAGAACAATGGTGGCTGCAATTTTCTCAGTGGCACCTCAAACATTTTCTTGCTATTTGAGAATTTACTAAGCTTGCATGCACTTCATTTGGGGGCGTGAAGGGGAAGGGAATAGGAGAGAGCACTTACTAGTATGGAACTATAAACTGAGAAAAGAAAGGGAGATAATTCCAGAACATCCACCATCCAAAGGCAGCATGTGACTGTACAAGTACCTGACATGTGCCATGATCACGGCTTGCCCTGGGGATCCACTGCCTTTCCAGTCTGGATTCCAGGAAAAAAGATACAAGGATACTCATAACCCAACCTTTTGAAACAAGACCATCCCAGGTGCCTTATAGAAAGCAGAAAATGAACTTCTGTCATTGGAAGTCATTGAGAGTTAAGGGTCATTATATAACACTTTTGTGACAGTAACTTGTGCAGTGTAAAAGTTCTTTTCCAAACACACCTCTATTGCTCTGTTTGCCTGCTTAAAGTCTCTCTTAATTGACTGTAAGTTTCCAAATGCGAGAAAAAAGTGGAGAGAGTGAAGAACCTACTCAAAATACAGACCATCATCAGGAGAGAGAGAGGGAGTTATCTCAATTCTTCCCTTTTTTGTTACATGGAAACTTTCTGAGATCTTAAAGGCTGGCAAGGAAATGCACTGAGGCCACAGTATGGGATCTGCATCTCCAATGAAGCTCAGTGCAACATTGCTGTTGAATTCAAAAGGACTGGAACACAACAAAGAAAAAAAAAAAAGTACAAGGCCCAGTAGCAGTAACTGGCAGAGTTGCTAAAGAGGAAAATATTGGTTTCCACACCTTTAAGAAGTACAAATTAGCCAGCGCTTACATGCAAAAACTTCTAAGGGCTAAAGATCATCCCTTAAAATAGGTTATTAGTGACTCAAACATCAATGTTCTTATTTTATAGACAAAGGAAGAAGAGGTAGAACCTTTTCCTCCTTTTTGGGAAGCCAGGAGTCTCTATCCAATTATTTTGCAGACGAGTCCTATGGGGTCTATCAAAACTCTACAGTAGAAGGTGCTCACCCAACCCCCAATATTGTGTGTAATATCTAACATGAGACCTAACTATTTGAATAATTCATTAATTCACCAGATATTCAGAAAGAGTCTGACACTGTAGCAAAGCAGTAATCAGTAAACATACTCACACATAGATTATTCCTTTTAGGAGTTTGCATATTACTAGGAAAAAGATAGCAATAAAACTAAATAAATTGAAAAGCTAAATTTTTAGAGACCTCCCCCAAATTAAATTACATAACAAGTTGGAAAGTGATCAGAGATATGAAGAAAAACAAACCAAGGAGGAAGAATCACGACGTGAGGGAGTTGGTGTTTCACAGCGCATGGTTTGGGTAGGTCTCACTGGGTAGGTAACAGGTGAACAAAAACCTAATATAAGATGAGGAAAGCAGTAATGCTGCTATCAGAGGATCCTGAGTGGGAGTGCTCCTGACTGTTCAGGAAACAGCAAGGGGACCAGCGTTGGCACAGAAGCACACACCCAAGAAACAGAAAGAAGTAAGATCAGAAAGGAAATGAGTCAGGCCCTGTTAGGCTAACTAAGAACTGTAAGGTTTCTGGCGTTTTCCTCAGAGATGGAGCAGCAACAACAAGGAAAAAAAAAAAAAGAACTCAACATTTACTGGATACCTTCCACCTGTCTGCCTCTCTATATTCATCATCTTACAGAATTCTCACTATGACAGAGACTTTATTATCTGAATCTTTCAAATGAGAACAGTGGGGCTCACAAAGGTATTTACCACCAAACTTGTGTGTGGTGAGAATGGCATTTGCTAATGGTTTTGTTAGAATAAGCCACCACGATGTTGACATCTCCTGTAATTCTCACCTTTAGGTAGATGCCTCTAACCAAGCAGGAAGAGTAAAACTATCTGTAGATCATCACTCTCTTCTTAAATGTAAAAGAATTATCAGCTCATAGCGGTTTGTCTACATGGAGACCAATTTCAGCACTAATTGTGAGGGATGAATTTTGTCTTCTGTAGTGCCTTGCATTTTTCACAAAAGCCTCACAGCAATCTTTGTATGAAAGGAAGAGTGAGGATGAATAAAGATATATTCTAAGGGATTACTGATATCTTCACAGGAATAGCTTCTGCTTCAAGCAAAAAGCTCTCCTTGCATTCAGCCCTGTGATTCAGTCTCTAGATGCTGCTGAATGAGCTCTCTAAATTCAGATCTGACCAAGTCATCTTTTGAGGCTTAAAACCTTTCACTAATTTCCCTCTTACTCATCACAAAAAGCTTGAAAAAAAATCAGATAGCTCCCATCTTCTAGTTCACTTCACTCACTCACTATGGCCAGAGCTGGGCACTCAATTCAGGTCTCCTATGTGAGCAGAAAGAACCAATTATTTGAGGCATTATTGCTGCCTCCCAGAATCTGCATTAGCAGAAAGCTGAAGTCAGAAGCCAGAGCTGGGAAGCATGTTGAAGTAATATAGCTGTAACAGAAGAGTCTTACTGTGTCTTAATGGATAGATCAAATGCCCACCCCACTCAATGCTTAAAAGTTTCAATGTGACCTATAGGAGTTGACACAAACTAGCATGTTTCCTTTTCCCAGCTCTTATCCTTAGGCTCTCGCCATTCGAATGTTTCTAGTTCTTTTGGGCATCAGGTTTTTGAATATGTTCTTCATCCCTGATAGAACGTTCTTTCCTTGGTTAATACATCTTGAGTCTCAGGGAAGCTTAGGTTTCCCTTCTGTGTGCTCTATAAACAGATGGCTTCCTTGGTTACAGTATTCCTCACACTGTCTCACACTTCTTTCAGTTGATGTTTGTTTCCTACCAGTTTATGAATAAGGCCTAGGTGTCTGAATGCTTCATGTTCCCAGCATCCACCACTAAACCTTGGATCTATCAGACATTCAAGTATTCCTAGAAAAAATAAGTGGATGAAATTGTACATGGTATTTTCCCTTTCTATGTAAGTTACTGCGAAGCTGTGGTGAAAATTCAGGAGATTGCAGGGAACAATAAGGAATAATGAGCACTAGTAGGAAAAGCAGTGTAAAAGGAAAATTGGAGGGCTCCAGATGTGGACTGTGTGTAACTCATATTTTCCATGTGTGTGCCCTGCCATGTTACATCAATGAGCTAATATTCCTCTCCTTGTCAATCACCCAAAAATAAAGCTGGAGAAAAACCAAGATCCTGTCTGACCAAACCCAAGTTAAAGTCTGGTTAACAATACAAGTTCTCAGTCTCAGCTGCAAGGAGGTGTCCTGATAATAGTTGATCCTTTCAAAGACAGCTGATGGGGCCAACACAGTGTTTCAACTGGCTAATCCTCTGCCTGCAAGTACCAGCAGGATGCTGGTTTATATGCTGGCTGCTTCCCTTCCAATTCAGCCACCTACTTATGGCTGGGGGAAATAATGGAGGTGGCCCAGGTCCTTTGGACCCTGCACCTTCATGGGAGACCTACAGGCTCCTGGGTTCGCATGAGTACAGCTCAGGCCATGGTAGCTGTTTAGAGACTGAATCAGGGGGATGAAGATCTTTTTGTCTATTTCTCTCTGTATCTTTCTTCTCAATTAAAAAAAAATCTTAAAAGGAAAAGACAGACATCCAAAGTACCAAAAACACATAAACCTCATCAGAGTGGAAGAAACCTCACATAAGTAGTGACTCTCACATGATAAGATTTTCAGAAGAGAAGCAAATTGTTCGGACAGTCCCATGACATTAAGAATGAAGGCTTGAAAAAAAACTCTAGGCGAAAGAGTGAGAGTGGGCACAAATGCACTTCAGTAGAGGAGCATGGTGCTGGGGGTAGGAAGTCTTGATCACGAAAAGGCAGTAATGTGGAATCCATCAAGCACAAAACCAATGACTTATAAACTTCCTGCACCAAAAAGATGAATGGAAAATTCCACAGATGGTCCAGGAGAAACTGGGGTGAAGCAAGCTGAGTGTGACAATCAGAGAATCTTTTTTCACCTACCACTCACCAAGATCTACCGCCAGTTGTACTGGAGTAGTGGTCACTGCCCTGTGGCCAGGACATCCATGCCCAAAGCTGCTTGTTGCCTTGTTGGGCTGGTTGGCTTCTCAGGGTCACTTTGCACCGTGGCTGCACTTACTCTTCTGTTCCATGCACTGACTCCATTTCACCCTACTCTGTATCAACATTTACTGCAGTCTCCCTTTGAAACACCAACGTCAAAATGAAAAACAAATTTCACGCTCTCCCTGACTCTTTGTTGAGAGGAAGATAAACCTCTTCCTTCCCCCAGCCAACCCTCACATGATGTTTTCTAAGCCTCTCATGATCTTCATCAATTTTCTCTGGACTGAAAAATGAACAGATAGTGCTCAGTGCTCCTGGCCACACAAGAAGGTGGGTATTCTCCACATCATATAGATGAGAATAGTGGGCAGAGGAATTAAGTAAATATAAGTTGTTTAACCAGAGTATGATTTGAACACTAAACTTTTCACTGCATCACCACTCTCCTCAGAGACACCACACAGCCAGTTAGAACAAAGATGAGAATAGAAAACAGGTTCCCTCTCCTTCACCCCATTCTATCTTTTCTGCTCTATACA